TTCTATTTCTTTTGAAGTTGAAAAGTAGAAGAATGAGTGATAATGAACATCTCATAACAGATGATAACTCTTACAGTGGATCAGACAGTGAATCTGAAATTTCTATAAATGATTCCGGAAGTAATGAAAGTTTGTTTTCGGACTTTTCGAGTGATGAGGAAACGGAAAGTTCGGATAACCTAACTCAAGTTCGAAACTTTTGTGAACTAGATATAACAAATCCTCCTTCACCTCCACCTCGATTTCCATTCACAGCAAATCCAGCTGTTCATGTAAATATTGATCTAAGTAATGGAACTCTACAATTTCTTGATATTTTCTTTGATGATAATCTTCTTGAAATTATAGTTTCTGAAACCAATAAATATGCAGATCGGACCAATCGGAGTAGTAATCTACGAAGGAATAGCAGAGCAAAAAAATGGGAACCAACAACAAAGCGCGAAATTCAAGTGTTTCTTGCTTTGAATATTTTACAAGGAATTGTGAAAAAGCCTGATGTTGAGCAATACTGGAGTAAGAGACATTCAACATCAACTCCATTTTTTCCGAAAATTATGTCTTACCGACGCTTTTATCTTATTCACCGGGTATTTACATTTTTCTGATGATACCGAATTTGATGCTAAAACACACGAGTGTCCAAAACTGCAGAAACTGTGGCCGATCATCAAGCATTTGAATACTCGTTACCGAGAAACTATCACACCTGAGTGAGATGTTACAATGGATGAGAGTTTGATGCTGTACAAGGGAAGATTACACTGGAAACAGTATATACCTCTAAAGAGATCACGATTCGGCATAAAAAGTTTTATTTTATGTGAATCGAAGTCAGGTTATGTGTATCAACTTATTATATACACTGGGAAAGATACCCTTTTTGATGATAATTACCAGCATTTGTGCAAGTCCTCTCAAGTAGTGATGACACCATGCAGCCACTATTGAATAAAGGATACTGCCTAACGACAGACAATTATTACACATCACCAGAACTTGCAGATATCCTTATCAAACATCAAACAGATATATATGGAACCCTGAGACTTACCAGATAGGACGTCCCAAAAGAATTACAGAAGAAAAAATTTAAATTAGGAGCAATCTGTGCGTACCAAAGAGGGAAAGTCTGTCTAATGAAATGGATGGATAAGAAAGCTGTATCTCTATTATCCACAATACACAACCCTATAATGATTGAAGTGCCATCTTACAAGGATGAAGTCAGAAAGAAACCAAAGGTAGTGATGGAATATAATAATACCATGGGAGGTGTTGATAGAATGGATCAGCATCTCACCAATTATCCAGTCACAAAGAAGAGAGGAAAGAAATATTACAAAAAAATATTCTTCCACCTTTTAGATGTATCGCTGTGGAATGCATTCGTTTTATACCAGAAGCATGGAGGAAAATACTTGCATTTGAATTTCAGACTTGATATAATTGATTGCCTGATTGAAAGACACGGGACTGTAAATGAAAAAAAGGGACAACTAGGAATTTTGCCCAATCCCTTACGATTGACTAAAAGGCACTTTTTAGAAGTGATTGCTCCCAGCGACAAAAAACTGAGACCAACGAGGCAGTGCTTTGTGTGCTGCTCTAAAAGAAACGATTTCGGAAAAAGAGTGAGAAAAGAAACTAGATATTTTTGTCCCGACTGCGATGTTAGACTATGCTTGTCACCGTGTTTTAAAATTTTTCACACAAAAGCTGAATTTTTAAAGATATTAGATGTAAGTATAATAATAAATTCTCTTTTCTAATATCCATTTCTATAAAGTATTTTCCCAGATCGCTTATTTCACCAGAAAAAAGCCAACTTTAAGTAAAAATGTAATTTTTCGTTGAAAATAAAAATTATCATAACTTCATAAATTCAACACTTATAATAGTTTTCACTCTTGATTTGAGTTTCTATAATCGATTTTAAAATAAAATTGTTTTTGAAAAATATGCTTATTTTTTGACACTATACTATATGTCAGAAAAAAGAGACTGTTAAGTGGTTAAAGTATCTGCATGCAGATCACAAATAATGGATAATGGAATTTGGGATAATTTAAATCCAAAGCATACTATTATAAGAAAAATTCCAAATTTTGTTCAGCACTCAGAAGAAAAGAATCTCAACACTAAAACAAAATTCTTATGTGTCAAAAATTTTGTTGTTTTCTTTCCCTGCATTTGAGCTACAAGGCTTTTAAATGCAAATAATTATTTTTTATTCAGTCACCTTCTGACAAACTCAGTGTGGGAAATTAGTTTAATAACTATATACTATTTATATTGATATTTATATCATAAAAACAGTAAAAAAATATATCTTTCTCTCATGCTTTCTTCAAAACTTGAAATATGCTGCTACAATGTATTTGTGACAGCAAAGTTTCCATAGAATTTTGCAATACCAGTTACTTAACATCTCAAGAAATCAATGTCTACAAATGATATATTATTAATGCTGAGAGAGCTAATGGATAATAAATATGCTATCAAACAAACAGCTAAAAAATGAAGACAATGTTCACAGAATTAGCAAATAAAATTGAGGATAAGAGAAAGATAGCCTGAAAGACCGTAGTTTGAAGTACTGTAATAAAATCGAGGATAAGAGAAAGATAGCCTGAAAGACCATAGTTTTAAGTACTGTAATAAAATTGAGGATAAGAGAAAGATAGTCTGAAAGACCGTAGTTTTAAGTACTGTTAAGAATTTAGAAAAGGCTGCTTCAGATTACAAGAATACATTAATATGAAAATTTACATTAACTTACAACATTTTTGCTGGTATAATTTAACTAAAAATAATTAAAAAAAGAAAAGTGGTGTGGTGAATTTAATTATGGCAAAGCACACTAGGGCTATCTGCCTAAGGGAAGGGATGCCTTCGTGGAGGACTTTCTAAGGGAAACTGGCTCGTATACACGTTACACATGGGGAAAACCACGAAAACGGCTATGCAGCCAGCCTGTTCGCGGGATTCGAACATCGGACCGAACTACCAGTGTCCAGTGACTTTACCGCTCAGCCGCTGGTGGGCCTAACAAAAAATAAATAAATAAATAAATAAATAAAAAATCCGCTAAAGATTTTAATGCTCTTGCTAAGGTTGTAATTTTTCTGTCTGCTGACTCTGAGACACTTTGTCTTTTTCAATTTATTATTAAACATCATCTTCTCTACAGTTATGCCACATAAAATTCAACAGTAAAATCATAAAATGTTAAAAGTATTATACCCTTAGAATTTCAGATAGAGTGTTAAATGTTGGCACACATTATTTAGTCTAGGAGGGCTATTATTCTTGAACCTCACTTTTACATCAACTCACTTTTGCTGTTCATCAAAGACACCAGAGTGGCCACCTGCCTAAAATAGTTACTATTAAAAAAAAAAAAAAAAAAAAACTTATATAATGCTTTTAATAAATCTAGGTAGTGTCATTTCGCGAGTCCAGCAGGTAATTAATAAAATAATAGAGAAATGTGTTTATTTCTTTTAAATTGCTTACTCTGTTAATAACAAGATAACAAGCAGATTGAATTCAAAAGAAGAATTACACAGCTTACATTCTGCCATATTGCACCAATGGATGTGTGGAAGTTAAAAATATTTTATATCGAATATTTTTAGAATTTCTGATAATGTTAAATGTTGCCATGTTTTTTACATTTATTATATTATTTCTTTAAAAATAATCATGGCAATAAGATTTGGTGGCAACATCCTTTTATTCTGTTGCAAGCATACTTTTTTCTTTTTATATTTGCTATACTGTTTTTAAATAATATACAAAAATTAGTACAGTCAAAAGTCGTTAATTCGGACCTCAAAGGTACAAACTTTCTGCGCATGCGTCGCGTTAACGGCGCACAAGACTTTTACGGCTGCGAATATGCGTGTGCACATGCGCATAATACGTTTACGCATGCGTGTTCAATGTATAACGGACAGTATAAGCTATGCTAAAATTATCTAATTCAGTTAATGTTGCAGATTGCGTTGTTCCTTAATCTTCGAATTGAATCCGGCTTATTATTTTTTGTAGACTGTTAAAGCAATTTTATAAAAGTAAGCTTGAATTTTCGATTATGTCAAATAGAATTTCCGAGATATATTTACTAATATGTAAAGGATCTACAAAGCGAAAGTATGTTTCGAAATCCGAAATCTGTTTATCAATTTCACGCTGCTATGCTGCGGGGTGGTGGCGAAACGCCGCGGCGCAAAATGAATTGGAAGTTGATCTGTCAGCACTATCCTTATCTTCAGGGCAGATGTTTTTATTTTATTTGGCTTATAATTCCTTACTAAATGTAGTATTTCATCTCGATGTACTCCGTCTTTGATATGATTTAAATCAAGTTCCTCGTCATTATAATTCGCTTCCGATAGTGAAGAAAGTGACACAGAAGTTATTGAAAACGAAAAAATTTCGATTGACAAATTAGTCGGTATTCTCGACACAGCAAGGACTTGAACAGCGGAACTTTGTAACTAAACAAGAAATTATGTCTGTTTAATAGAATTAAAGAGAAAGTATTATCACATGAAACGAAGCAACTTACATTGAAAGAAATGTTTAATAAAGTAAACAAATAAATATTAAGCTTTTTCTTTTTGTAAATTTTGATAACCTTTAGATCATAATTGTTCTTTATTTCATACATTAGTTTCATATTTTTAATTTTGTAATTTCTACATGCCGTCTTACCAGATTTAAACTGATAATCTATTATCCGGAAAAATCGATAATCCAGAATCTCCGAAGTCCCGACGAGTCCGGATTGACGACTTTTGACTGCATTTTGATAGCAACAGTCTTTCATTTGTGTTGCCATATATATATATAATATGCTGTTTTATTTATTCAAAAGTAATACATGGAATAACATTTTGGGGACATTTGAAAAGTACTAACAGACCAAAAAAATGAGGCTGGGTCTAATGGCACCTCTGGGGCTAAAAAAACTAGATTTGTAAAATACTTACTAGCACAGGTTCAGCATCTTTACCATTTGCCCATTCTTCAGCTGACATGGCAGGAGTATCAGCTAGTGTGTCTGGATAAAGGTCATCTTGAAAAAGTTCAGACTAGAAATAACAAAGAAAACTTATATTACACAGTGTGGAAGGAGAGAATGATAGAACTTCACGAGTTATTTAAGAAACTAAACATTATCAAAATGTACGTTAGAACTCTTTAACATGGATGTTTTCCTTAAATCTATGTGCACAATCAGAAATAGTGCTAGTTTGCTCTTTCAGTAGACTTTTAAAATATTCTTATCAACAAACAGATAATTTAGCATGACATGAATATATAATTTATATAAAGTAGATGTCGCTTGCATGGCATCACAGTTATCCATGACTATTTTGATAACATTATGGGATTAACAAAAATAGCCTTAAAAATATCAACAGAAGAATTTAATTTAAATATAACTATAAATGCTTATACTTTCACTATGTTCCAATTAGGAAAATGCCATTAATAGTTAATTGTCAGCAAATGCTATGCTAAAGTTAATTTATGAACTGTTTATATTTATGTTTCTGGAAATTATTAGATTAATGCTGTAATCCCAATCCTAAAAATTGCAGAGCACCCTCATCTCAGTATTTGTAGGAAATTTTCTGATTTCATCATCATCAACTTCTACAGAAAGTTTATCACATTACGTGCTTGGATTAGTTTCAGAAAGTGACTGGCAGTTATCTTCTATCATTGATGCTGCAACTTGACATTTTTTATCAATATCCACTTAAGTGATAAATTCTGCAGAATTCATGTTATTTATTCAAGGCAACTTTTAACCCATTACTTGGAGAAATGCCTTGGATGAATTTCTATGCTCTATTTCAACCTTATTTCATGATTTTAACTTTTATTTGGTGATTTTACTCCAGTTTAAAAAAATCATTCTATAATACTTGTATTTGATAACATTAACCAGATTGCAGGTCCCAATACAAGACACACTTTCCCTGTTGTCGTATACAAAACAGGCAGGATTTCTTCAATTCGATAATATTCGAATGATAACATTAACTGCAATCACATTAAACAGTGACTATTGTATCAAATTACTTACATTACAGTGTTTTAAATGATGAATTATATTTATTTAGATTAAAATTATTTCTAATGTGTTTTATAAATTAAAGAACAAAAAGAATAGAAAAATGTTGATAAATATCAAAAACTTGAGTAAAAGTAGTTTTTTTACACACATAAAACTAAATACTTAATAGGCAAATAAAACACTCCTTCCTAAAACTATGAACTACAAACTACACTCCTTCCTAAAACTATGAACTACAAACTACACTCCTTCCTAAAACTATGAACTCCCCCCACCAACACACACACCATTTGAAAATCCGTGTTCTGGGGGGGGGAAGTTTAATTACGCTTATCATAATACAAAGTAGTGTAAGTAAAAATGCATGTACTTAATTTATATCATAATGTATAATACATTTATTTATATTACATTTATATGTAACAGTGTATTTTAAAATATGTATATATGCTCATTATACAGTGTAGAATATTACAGTGAAACCTTGTTTCATGAATGTCTTGAATCACAAGACTTTTTAAGAGGAAAATGTCTCAGATGATGAACAATGTCTCAAAATAAGCTGGCAACAAATGATACTCCAAAATGTAGTTAATTCAGTGGAGGAAATATATTTAGGTTTAGAAGATGACGATGGACAGAAGGGTATTTGTTCCTAGTTGTTTCATACACAAAATTTACATGAAATTGGATAAGGTACAAGGGTAAAGATAAAGCAGTAGGGTATACCATGACAACTGCTTTAGAAGCATTTTAAAATATAGACAGAAACAAATTTCAGTGAGCAAATTTTTAATGGGAAAAATGCCTAATGATTCACAAGTAGGGGTGAGCAGTGTTCAGGTATGGGGACAGAAAGACAGTAGCTATCTAATATCTTTACAGAAAAGGCTGCTTTGCTAGCTTTTTCACCATTTTCTTTATATATTATCAATATTCCACAACAGAGATAGGATACAATTAAATTCAAGTTTTTTATTTTTTAATGTGTTTTGCTTTAAATATAGTGTATGTATTAGATTTAATTAGTTACATCAGATTTGCATTATGAACTTGCATAGACTTGCAAGTACTCTTTTATGACAGGATTCGGACACATTTCTGCACATGGAAATTAAGTACTTTTAAGGACCATTAATGAAAAAAATTAAGGACCTATGAGCAAATGGGAACTGAATAAATTCAATTTAAAATATTATCTATATCTGAATTTCACTTTTGTAATACCCTCCTAAAAATAAAATAGATCCCAAAGTAGTATACATTATTACTAAACATGAATTAATTAACATAATTATTAATAAGTTTGAGATTAAAATAAACTTTATACAATTTATCAAGTAGCATTAAATATTTTACACTTATAATAGTTGGACATATTTGAAAGAAGATAAGTGCCATTTACATTTTACTAACAGTTAGCTTTATGTTGATTTTTTTGTCTCATTTTGTCACACACTTAGTCAGTCTAGAGGTTTAGTAAATAGCAGGTAGATTTTATGTCAAACGGCATAGGTTAAAATGAGAAGTAAGATCATTATCAACATGATTCATAACAAAAGACTGAATGCTGTCACCGCTGCTACTTGTCTAGAGAGAGCCCTGCTAATAAGAACAAACTTGAAATGCCTGATGTAGACATGATTGGCAACTGTTGAAAGTTCCTCCAAAATGCTAATTCACACTCAAAATGGCAGTTGTAAAAACAGACAGAAATTTCAGATGATTAAAATTAAGGACCTTCTGCTGATTTTGGCCAAAATTAAGGACTTTTAATGACCAAAAATCGATTCCAAAAAATCTAAGGACTTTTATAAGGACCGTATGAAACCTGTATAAGCATGTATATTTGGGATCTGGAATTGAATCATTTTTGAATCAAAATGAATTTCATTCATTTTTCATTAAATTGTACAGGGTATATTGCTTTAGTTCAGGAATATTTCAGGCAATAAATTATCTTCAGGAATGAATTAGTTCATGAATCTAGGTTTCACTGTTCCAATTTGCAGCGCAAATAAAGATAATAGAGGGATAGATTTGGAAACTCATCCCTTCATCCAAGTTCAGAAATTAAAGGAAAATTAACAACAAAAGTAGGTATTTTTGGTTTTTATTATCAATTTACTTTTAATTTCTGAACTTTGGATTTACTTACTGACCAGCGACAATCAAATTACCAGTAGAACAAGCAATGACCACACCCAAGCGCTGAAACAGATTAAAAATGAGAAGATTTGACATGCAGATAATACGTATACAAACAATAAAGTCTCCATATTGATACATTCAACAAAATCTGAAAAGCACAGTAAATATCCTAAAAGATTTTAAATTCTAATAAAAACATTCTTGGAAAGAACTATAATTTTATGAAAGTACAAGAAGCAAGGTAAAGGGGGGGGAAGAGAGTTCTAAGGATAAATTATACATACAACAAAATGCACCTAAAAATTAACTTACTTTTCTAGGTACAGTAAATGTAATAACTTCACAGAAACCTCTTGAATGTAATTTATAAAACCTATAAAGAGGAAACGAATAGTGATTTAGCATGAAAATTGACACTCCAGCCTAATATACACCACAGCCACTGAAGTCCTTTCCTGGTTTTCACTTTGCAACCACTGGTCATAGATATACATACTTCCACTTACAAAAATGTTTAAAATGATGCTAAGATTCATGTTTTTGCATTTTTAAAGATAGCAATTACAAAATATAATGTTTTAGACATTCCTCTGGTCCCTATACTTTAAGAAAATCATGCACCTGTTAAAAAAAAAAATAAAACACAATACATCTGATACCCATAAGACAAAAACTGACTAAGATTATTACAAAGTCAAACTTTATTTTCAGGGCCAAACATAAATGAAAGAATGAAGTGTCTTTGTGAATGTATTCTGAGAAATGCATCTGTGCAGAACTAAAAATTAAGTATCATTTATAAAATGATTTCTGATGGTAAGAGATTAAGTGATGAGCATTTCTATGCAAATTATAGTGAAAAATATTGACCAATAATGTTTTTTAAAATGGAGATCTTATTCATGTAATCTTATAAAATTTGCATTCTGAAAAACAATGGTTGGCTTTCATACTGGCATGTGCAACTTATAACATTATTTTGCTTTAATTAAAAAAAAAATGAAAAATTCTCTACTTTAATGAATGAACTCTATTAATTTTTCTTACATTTACCGAATTATTATTCTAAAGTAATAAAACTTCATGAGAATATTAATGATGTATTTTTAGACCTGGAAAACTTAACCCGGGTTTGATCGCGCTGGGTGTCTCACACCCAGTGACTCCTTTTTCGCACTTTTTCTTCCCAACCTTTTTTTGAAAATGGACGAGTCTCCGTGTAGCTGCCTCAAAGGTCATTCCCTTGGAAGAGGAGAATCGGCGAAAGAATTCTAAAAATAGATCTACTTAAATCACGGGGCTTGAGTATCTCACTCCCAGAGCGAGCATTTCTGTAACTGTTCTCAGTACAGGCAGACGTATCTAAATCGTTCTTTTGTTATGGCGCGTTACCGCACTTATGACGAAGAAATGCGGTATTTGAAAATTTTACTGGATACTGTTTCTTCTAATGAAGAAAATATAGAGGAAGATAGTGATTTTTCAGGTAATGAAGAGCCAGATGATGAAGAATATTGTAGTGATAATGATTCTTCAACAGAAATTGAATCTGATTCTGAAAACGATGTTTCAGATTCAAGTGAAGATAATTATTTTATCGGAAGAGATAACATAACGAAGTGGAATAAAGAGAAATTCAAAGCTAATGTTAGAATTTCTGTGAAAAATATAATATCAAAACTCCTAGGAAATACACCAGTTTCAAAGAATGTAATTTCTCCTGTGGATGCTTGGAACCTCCTTATATCTTCTGATATGATAAAGTTAGTGCATTGGACTAACAGTTTTATAGAATTGATCCGAGAGCATCTTTCACGGGAAAGAGATGCAAAAGAAACTAATGAGGCTGAAATTAAAGCATTTATTGGATTGCTTTATCTCATTGGTTTGCATAAATCATCACATGTGTATGTACAAGATCTTTGGGCAACAGACGGCACTGGAATAGAAATATTCCGTACAACCATGTCATCAATACGTTTTTATTTTTTATTGAGATGCATCCGATTTGATGATATGCAAACTCGCCAGAGCAGAAAAGAATTAGACAAACTGGCCCCGATACGTGAATTCTTCGAAAATTTTGTAGAAAACTGCCAAAAATCGTACAACGTTGGAGAGTATGTAACTAGATGAGAAATTAGAATCTTTTAGAGGGCGATGTCCATTTCGCCAATACATGCCAAAGAAACCATCGAAGTATGGAATAAAAATTTTTGCGCTCGTCTATTCCAGAGTGTTCTATACTTGGAAAATGGAAATATATGCTGGTAAACAGTCGAAAGGTCCATTTCAAGTAGATAATTCTCCCAGTAGTGTTGTAAAAAGATTGATGGAACCTCTGGATAATTCAGGAAGAAATCTAACAGTGGATAACTGGTACACTTCTTATCCACTTTCGCAAGAACTTTTGAAAAAAAAAATATAACAATTGTTGGAACATTGAGAAAAAATAAGACAGAAATTCCTCCAATATCCTTGAGTACAAGAAAAAGGGACGTTTACTCTTCCATGTTTGGATTTCAGAAAGAAACGACTATTGTTTCGTATGTACCAAAGAAGAGTAGAAATGTTCTTCTGCTCTCAACAATGCATAACGATAATGCAATAGACATCACTACTGGAGAATCAAAGAAACCCGAAATAATAACTTTCTATAATATAACGAAAGGAGCTGTCGATGGCATCAACGAAATGGCTGCAACGTATTCAACAGTTAAAAAAAAAAAAAATCGATGGCCTATGACGATATTTTATGCAATGTTGAATGTAGCTGCTATAAATGCACGCGTTATTTTGCTATCCACTAAGGAACCACCGACTCAGAATTGAACACGACGTTCTTTTCTGAAAAGTTTGGGATTTAAACTAATCGAAGACTACAAAAAGATCAGAAGCCAGCAAACAATGCTCCCGCAAAGTTTGAAAGTAAAACTGGCAAAGAATGAGGAATGAGGACTCTCAACCATCTGCTAAGAAGGCAAAAGTAATAATTAAAAGATGTGCTGAATGAGGATCTGAAAAGGACAGAAAAACAAAATATATTTGTGAAAAATGTCAAACACATGTATGTATGGAACATATGGCATGTATTTGCAGGAAACGTACAGAATAATTGTAAGTAATATTTTAAATAAATGTTTAAAACTGTTTCGACTTTTATCTTTTTCTTCTGCTTTATGTTTTGTGTAAATTGTATAGTAGAAAATAGGAAGAAACCACCCTGCGTATGACACACCCAGCGCGTGTAATGCCGAGTTAAAAATTATTTGTATGAAAATTCTTTTGGCATAAACAAAACAAACTTAAATATAAATAAAACTGGCAACAAAATTATAAATAAAGATGCTAGTAAATCACAAAAGAATATCATTAAATGACATTTAAGGAGAAAAAAAAATCAACCTTGGATTATTTTAATTTATTTAAACTGAAATCCCTCAAAGCAAATTCAAAAAGATGTCAAATATTGCAAATTTTGAAATAAAATAGTTCAGTTAATTTTTGTCATACTTTTTGCATTTTATTTTTATAATGAGTAAAACATTTTCCTAAATATCTTTAAAGAAACTATAGAAACATTAAAAAATTATATTTTTTAATTATTATTTATATAAAACTAAATTCTTTAAATTGAAAATATATATCTATGACCAATGGTTGTAAAATAAAGGCTGGGTATGAGCTTTTGTGGCACAGTGTATCGACTGTTTAACATGCTTAAGTATTTAATAAGCATCCACTAATATCCTGTTTAATATGCTTGTACCATTACACACAAATTTTCATTCAAAGTCTATCCAGTCATTAGTGATCAATGACTATAAGATGTAAAAAGTAATGTAATAACCAGTGACTGCTTATCTCACAAATGCCTGTATATCCATGTTCACTACACATCATAGCATGATTACCTGTGTGAATTTCATCTATGCAGCTTAGCTTTAATTTTATATTTGAGCTATTTATACTAAAAGCAACTGAATAAAATGAATTCTGAGATGTACTTATTATGGAGCATTCAGTGGTTGTTTTATTATAAAATGCTAGAAGTTTGTAAAAATAAATAATGTCTTCAAATTGAAAAAGAAGTACACATATAAAAAGAAAAAAGAAGTAAAATGTAGTCAGCTCAACTTTCTAACTAACCACACTAACTCTTAAATGGTGTGGTGTATTTAATTATGGCAAAGCACACTAAGGCTATCTGCCTAAGGGGAGGGATGCCTTAGTTGAGGACTTCCTAAGGGAAACTGGCTCGTATACATGTTACACATGGGGAAAACCACGAAAACGTCCACGCAGCCAGCCCATTCGCGGGATTCGAACCTCGGACCGAACTACCAGTGTTCAGCGACTTAACCGCTCGGCCGCTGGTGGGCCCTAACTCTTAAATGACAAGGATGGAAAAAAATCTCTGTTGTTGATAAATCTATATTACGTTTTTATGGTCCAGAAGGGAGGGGGGGGTCACAGAACTTGCAATCATTCTTTCCTTTGGAAATGTTCTGCAGGAGATACCTGCTTAACATGATCATGTTTGTTCATGACTATTTTAATAACATTAACCAAATGACAAAATTAACCAATGAAGAAAAATATCCTTCAAAACAGGTATTTTTGCTGCATTTAAATTTGGGAAATACAAAAGCTTGTTTATGAACTGTTCTTAACAATTCAGGAAATTATTCAACTGATGTTGTACTCTTAATTTTAATATTTGGAACCATTTCTCACTGGGAAAGAACATGAGAATTAAAAATTTTAAATTAAGTAGGGGACACCCCTTAATTTGAGGGAAAATAAAATATTCTGTAATTCCCCTCCTCCCTTTTTTCTTTTGAAGAAGAAAAACTTGCATTTGATCCTCCTCTAATTAATAAAGTGATTTAAAAATCTATGTGAAAATTAAAGTCGTGTTTCTGCCTAATTTTAAACGGCAGACTGAAATTGAAATGGCGACTTAACCCCTCACATGGCAATTTTTATAATCTATTTTGATCTCATTTGGCAACTTTTTTTTAAAAAATTTATTGCATAATAGTTTGATCATATTAACTGAATTCCTGATCACAATACGTGATATATTTTCCATGTTTTCGGATACAAATGGGAGCCACTGTGGCAATTCGATAATATCCGGATGATAATGTTAACTGCGGCCACATAACGTAGGGTCTATTGTAATATGCTTGGTGGCAAAATTGCTAGTAAAGATTCATAATTAGCCAAAGATATAATTTTCTGCATTTATCTTTAGATCGCTCATGAAATTCTTAATAGTATTGTCACTGCTGCTTCATCACCTCTGTTGAACCTTTTAAAAATATAACAAATATAGCTGATTTTTTTAAACATCTATCAGTCTTCAAAATTTGATTTATTGTCATAGTTTCTTTAAGAACATTCTCTAAAATTTTAGTGCTCTACAAGAAATGATTTAGGATGTTAGGATTCTGCAAAAAATAGGGACGAACACAGTAATCATACAGATTTGAATGCCTCATTCATTTCATATTAAAAAATATAATGCAGTACAAAGTCCGAAACAAAAGTCCAGTACAAAGTAGTGACTTCGGCGATTCCGCGGATCTGGGATTTTTCCGGATATTAGATCATCAGTTTAAATCTAGTAAATGGCATGCAGAAATTATAAAATTAAAAATATGAAACTGTAATTTATGAAATAAAGAGCAATTCTGATCTAAAGGGTATCAAAATTTTAACAAAAAAAAAAAAAAAAAAAAAAAAAAAAAAAAAGCTTAATATTTATTTCTTTACCTTATTAAACATTTCTTTCAATGTAAATTGCTTCGTTTTTTGTGCTAATACATTTTCTTTAATTCTATGGACACACATAATCTTCTGTTTAGATACACTGTTGAAGTCCTGTAGCTGCTATTTCGAGAATTCCGACTAACTTGTCAATCAAAATTTTCTCGTTTTCAGTATCTTCACTGTCACTTTCTTCACTTCCAGTAGCGGTATTTTCTAGATCTAGAACCATACTACAGATTTTGCCATTCATTAATTGATTGATGATTGAGAAGCATTGTCATCACAATGAAAAACATCTTTTATAGCATTTTCATTTATTACCTCTCCTTCACATTTCTTTACAAAATCTGTTAACTGGAAAATTTCACCTTTGTTTGCGATATCCAAAAATCTTTAAAATTAGTGGCTATTATCATCAAATTTAACTATCCTTCACTATACATATTTGGCTATGCATCATGAACTTGGCGACTAACGACAAGTTGTTCTGTTACATTTTATCTTGCTTCTATTGCACACTGACACAATTAAGCCTGAATTGTATTAGTTTAGTTATTTATTATATTAATGTCTAATTCTTGCACATGCTTAAGGCTTATTAGAGGTCTGAATAAATAAATTCCCACCATATACTTAAGCCTTATTGAGGGCCAGCGCTAGATATCTTACTGGCTGATGCAGTCTCTGTGGGTCCTAAATTCTGTGACTCGATGTGGCCATACGAGCCCTGACGCTGGTTCTGGGTTTATGTGAATAACAAATCAGTTATTCTTAATATAAATAGTCCTAAATGTAATCTTTGGGTCTATGAGTATCATCAATAAAATCTATTTTTAGCATGTGGAAAGAAATTTTTGGTAAATTTTTCCCTTTCAACATTTTTTTAGCACATTTAACTTAAATCTGTAATCATCGCCAAGTGTAATGTCTACATAAAAGGTTACCACACTCCTTTATTATTCAATTGCTAACATAAAAAAAAAAAAATGTTTAGGCATTGCTACACGAGTCATTACTCAAGTTGTCATGTTTTGATAAACATGCGGTGATGAAAGGAAAGTATAACAAAGAATGATTTGCCAGGTTGGCGTCAGATCAATGATGTATCTATGTGGAATGTTTCAGTTTGAGATGTATGCCAAGCAGATACGTAGCAACGGAGCCAAATTACTGATTGTACAAATTTATGCTAAAATGATTGCTTCTTCAATAACAAGGTATTTTATTTAGTGTCGAAGTGAAAATAAGAATCGGGACTCTCCAGATGTTTTATTATGCGCTGAGGGGGAAATCAAATGTGCATGCATAAAAGAACGAGAAAACGTTGGTGGTGGTTTTGAGGTCTGTATTTTAGATCATTCCGGTTAATGGACGTCCGGATTTCGGACTTCGTACTGCATATATAAAACTGTTTCAAATTTATTTGGTAATCATTCTTAAAAGAACTACTTCTCACCGTGCAATTTCACATTGATGAATATCACAACCTCTCTTTGGCATAGATCCAAGACCTCTTTGAGGTTCTGTGGACTGATATGTGTTTATGTAATGCACAAACGGTGGTTCGTCTGTGATTTCGAAGTACCGAATATTGCTGTCCCCCTAATGAAAGAAAAAATGGCAGTATTCAGATCTAGCATGCATTTATGTGCAAATAAACATATTTTTGTATGCAACCAAAATAATAAATCAAAATAGGCCAGATGAAATCATTTGCAAATTTTTAATTAGCCATTAGAAATGTTATTTATTTAAAGTTATTTAAAGGTTTCATCTGATATCTTTCTTACCTTGGCACATAAATATAAAAGATTTACATCAGGATCATATATTGGACTTAAAATTCCATTACTTGTATCTAATTCTTCTAATATGATAGGTTCTGAAAGGGCAACCTAGAAAAGAAACAAAATTTTAAAATCATAGCAAGACAAAAAATACGCTCACACAGTTATGAATTCTAAAGCTACATAATAGCAATTTCAAACCAAAATTGCATGCCAGCCACAATTACAGGGTTATTCAAAAAGAAAGAGCAGATTGCAAACATGTATTTCTTCCAAACTACAAAAGATAGAAACATGATTTTAACATTAATGGATAGAGAAAAATGTACAATTTAGTACGGGTAACAGTTCCAATCATGGCCGCATTGGCGCTGTTGTTTGTTCTGGTATTATTTTTCGGTTGGTAATCTGTAGTGAAATGGCAGCGACAGCACAGCAGAAGTCTTTTTGTGTTCTACAATTGGCAAAATTAAGAGTCCATTGTTGCAGTTCAGCGAGCATTTCGCCGTCAATTTAATAAACAACCACCACATCATAAGCAAATTTACGAGTGGCATAGAAAATTCGTAGAAGATGGTTGCATCTGCAAAGGGAAAAGCACAGGATGTCCACGCACATTGAACGAGAATGTTGAGCGTATCTGTACACTTTACGAAAGGAGCCCAAAGAAATCCACATCGCGAGCAAGCAAAGAACTTAAAATTCCTCAACCAACGGTATGGTGAGTTCTAAAACATCTTCTGCACATGAAGCCATCGTTTTGACATTTGTCGTGTAACACACGGTGCTCATACTGAATGCATACCATAATTGTAAACTTTTCTCTATCTATTAACGTTAGAATCATGTTTCTATCTTTTGTAGTTTGGAAGAAATAAATGTTTGAAATGTGCTCTTTCTTTTTGAATAACCCTGTATATATAAGGTCTAACAGAGAATTCTGCCCATTTGGGAAGTAAAAGAGAATACAATTTTCACACCTTTAATAATATTTACTGTACAATATAATTTCTGTCTTTACTTATAACCTCTTGCCAGCATGATGATAATTTGTAAATACTATTTTTGAAAAACATGCCACCCTCAGAGGTATAGAACTCAAGTAGTGCTTGGCTCACACCTGCTTCAGTTTTGAATATTTTTCTCTTCCAAAAATTTTGCAAACAGAGAAAGAATGGGTGACAGTTCAGTGGGTGCTAGATCTGGGAACTATGGTTGATGCAACAGAGTTTTTCAGCTTAGGTATAGGATTTTCTGACAAGTTACCCAAGTAGTATGCGGTCTGGCACTATAGACCACATGATGAGCTTGATGAATTATAATAGTACCATACCACATGCATGATGTGCTTTCTAATGAGCATCGCTGGCCTCTTTTCTTGAGTGTATTGTTTTAAATCATCCACTTACTGAGAGTATCTTTCTGAATTGAGATTTTCATTAGGTCTCAAAACTTTGTAATGCATTGGTCCTTGGACGTCTCATCATATGCACAGCCTTCTTTTATTCAGATTGAGCTCAGTTTAGAGATGGAGGTCACAGGTTCTCTGGGCTCATAGAATGCTCTTTTTCTAATGATGTTTTCTTAGGTGATCAACTTTTCAGTAATCATCTGGTTCCAGAAAGGTTTGTTTTTATTCCAAGCAGCATAGATGTGCATATGATGACTCGGTCATGCACACTTTTCTTATTTAACTCATTAGGCACCCATTTGGGATACGGTCCAAAATGGTTTGCTGAACTGAGTTACGCTTTTCCACAATTACTGATGTTCAAAAAAGGACACTACTCTAAGATGATCTTGACAATATTGTCATCGATTCAAAATGGCTGCTTAGAGCTTGGTTTATCATTAAGTTCGAAATCACCTACTTCAATTTTTTTTAACTACGTCCTAGGTGTTCTATTCAAAACTGCATTTCCAACAAAAATTTTCTTTAAATTTCAACATGTTTCTGTAGCATTTTTTTCCTTGTTGGAATTTGTACAAAATATTGGTATTGTAAATTAACTTTATTGGTAGCTACGTTTGCATGATGATCACATCTCATTTAATAATGATATATTTAGAAGAGCACATGGGCATAAATACAATAATAAAGAGAGACAGCCATATATGTCTCAAATGAAAATGTGCATGTGTGTTGAAATTTGGAATAACGTTATTGGACAGAGCTTTCCAGTAGACCTAATATACTATATATATACATTGCAGCACATTTACTCTTAATGTATGTATATCTCGATTTTCTAATCTAGTGCCAAAGGTGACAGGTGTGTGTGATGTTGATACATGTTTGAAACTTTACTTATAAAATTGAATTTTCCTTGAACATGGATTAATTGAAAATTTTTTCAACAATGTTTAATCTGTACTATTTACATTATTTTTCTTCATATTTATTTTTTACTTTTCAAAATTATACATTCTTTTCTGTCTAGCTAAAATTATGAGAGACTTTCTTTCATTTATTTATTTACTGTCTTTAGATGCCCAATTTAGAGACACTAAGTATTTGTTAAAACATATATAAATACAATAATGCAAAGAAAAAAAATTCAAATTTATATTTTTTCTATCAATAATAAACCAAATTCCTTATTACATATAAAAATGCAATTTTATTGCACCGAACACAATAAAAACACACAGTTTTCCAATTTTTCTTGAGAAGGATGTTATTCTTCATCCACATTAGTTAGAGACATGGCTTGCAGATTTCTCTCTTAATCACTATTGTAATTTTATTTACAACTCTTTCAACAAAATGAATTTGTGTATGAAAGCTACATTCAAAATTTATGTGCAGCCCTAAATAATAGATATTGAGATATTGCTAATATAGATATTGTCTGATAATAAGCACAAATATAGGTTTTGCATTTTACCTTGTGAACTTTCCCCCTAGATTTTTAGTGGCAGGTTGTGATCTGAATTTAAAAAAAAAATATTCACATAAATTTCCCCTTCCAAAATGTATTCAGGAAATGATCTTCCCTAAACTTTAAATATGGATTCATCCCTGTAGTGTTTGTTTCTGTCTTCCTAACAAAGACAATCTTTCCTAAACTACTTTGAAGGTCCCGCCGAACCTTTCCCTTCTAACAGCTGAACTTTATGCCAGATTGATACAAGAACTGACTGATCAAAGCAAAGCAAGGCACGAACCGACATTCAGTCTATGATTTCCCCATATCGGCTACACATTCACTTTCTCTATTTATGAATGACTAAGTCTGAGGAGAAGCAGAGACAATAATAATAACAGTCGAGATTCAAGTTACAGGGAAGTAATAACTGAAGGCATATTATTAGATATTACTATGTATTCTTATTAGAATGTAGGTCTCTTTTAAAGAAATAATACTATTATGATAGCTATCTGTAGTTTATCAATAACTACTTTTCATTTGTTATGTTCTTATAGTAACCGTATCCTTCAAAAATTATTTGTCCAATTTTCCCCTCTCAATTTTTAGAAGGTAAACTTAGCAAAAAAAAGGGGGAGAATAACAAGAAAATATGATGTAAGCCAGTTTAGTTCATTTCCGTCTGTACATGGAATATGAAGTGCAGAGCTGTGCTTTCTGCTAACCAACTATTGACTGTCTTGAGGCAAATACCAACTCAATGCAAAAAATCAAAAATGCCAGAATACTGCAAGTTCCACCAATTCTGGCTGGTGAACTAAATTTACAAATTGTAGCTAGGTGAGAAGCTCTCCCACTTTACTACAATCACATGTCCTAGTATATATGCATATAGCAACAAAACCAAAATCTAGTCATTTTGTTTCCTCAGCTTAGTCCTTCCTAAGCTTAGTCCCTTTTTCTATGTCTCTTAAGTTCTAAGATCCATATTTAACAATGCACAGATGAAATGTGTTCACAAGCCATGTAAAATTGCTTCTGGGGATTCATGACCCATAGGCTAACAATTTGAGAACATTACTATATGACATTCTATTCATATTTTTCAGAACAATCAGTCATATTTTAATTTAAAAAACACCCATACAAAGCAAAAAAAAAAAAAAAAAAAAGAAAGAAAAAATGCAACATTATCCCGTATTTGTAAGATAACTAATATACTTAACACAGTTAATATAAAACCCTTATGGTGCTAATATAAGAAAATGCTATCATCATCAACTTCAGCCCTCAGTCAGCAGAGTTACTTTTCTCTATTTGTTTAAGCATAAAAAAGGATCTCGCAGAACTATGCTAACTGAATGGTTGAGCATGATATCTAAATTTCATAATGTGATTAGAAACATAGCTGATTTAAACCTATCAATAAGATATCGCACAAAAGAAATTTCAAAATGATACTATAATATAGACTGAGCGTACTAAAATTTATTAGTTCAAACATTTTCCCACTTCTGTAACAAGATCACAACAGTATTAAAAAAAAAAAAAAAAAAAAAAAAAAAAACCAGCTCACATTAGATTCAATTAGAATAATTTAAAAAAGTTTAAGTATTTTTTATCTTTACAGCCTACAATAATTTTCTTTAAACACATCTCGATTCTCAAAACCTAACACTTTAAAGAAATACTATGTATTTGTGACAGATTAAATATTCTATTTAATAATGTGCATTCCAACTGGCAAACAGACATGACACACTGTCAGTTTTGTTCCACAACATCAATAAATGATGACTTATAATATCTTTCAATCTGAGGTTGTATGGATTTTAGTTTTTCAGATTTCTAGTTACAAGTGAAAATAGTCAGATTTGAGCAGGAGGAAGATAGAACAATTTTTTTTTAAACATTCTAACAGAGAAATATATATATTAAATACACAGAATTATAGTTATTTAACAGAAAGATACATTACATAAAAAGAAATGGTCAAAAACATCTGATTTTTACAATTTTCAAAATCTGTTTTACTGTAGTTTGCTTTGAAATTTTAATATGTTTTAGTTTGAACATGTCCTGTTGTTGAAAACCAGAGAATAATGGTATTCAAAAACAGGACATGTACCATGTCAAAGTGATAAAATTTCCTGTAAATGGTTTGAGGGGCATGCTAAACCAAATAATGAGCCATCATGGCACATAATTTGGATTTTGCACTAAATAACACTTGTGAGT